TTTGTTAATTATAAATGAATTTGAAAACTATTAATTTTTTTGATAAAAAATTTTGTAATTACTCTTAAAAATTTGAATTTATTATTGAATTGAGGGCTTCAAATAAATTAAAATTATTATTAACTTGATACCAACACAAATTATAATATGTTCAGTTAATCAGAATCATGATTATAAATCAAATTTTTTTAATTAGGGTTAAATCTCAATGTCTCTTTGCTTTTTTTAAAAATTTTTTCAAACAAAGAACTAGGATTACGTTAGTAAACTCTTTTGCAGACACTAGATGTTTTACAAACAACTCATTTGAACTTGTACTGGTAGAACTTATCACTAACTGAAAGCCATTTTTTAATGCTTGCCTTAGGTTTGCCACACTCCATACAAGAATAAGAAAATTTGAAAGCCCTACAAAACAAAAAGAAAGAAACTACTGTTTGAATTCTGTTCCCCACAAATTTCTTTAATAGAATAGTTTATGGGAACTATGCCACAATTAGATTATTAATGATTTCGGAATATTTACTTCATAAAACGTAAAATTCAGTAAAAAAATTCCAAAACCCCCTTAATTATCTTATATGAGATGAATAAGTAAATCTTCATTTAATTTTAGATTCAAAATTTTGAAAAAGTCATCTTGAATTACTAAAGGCTGCCTTTAAAAAAATTACAAAATTTTCTAGAAAAAAAAAATGGTTGTATATCAACTTTTTAATTTAAATTGCTTAACAAACTTCAACAATATTAATAAAATTTCTAATTTATAATTATTATTTAAAAACAAAAAACTTTAAAAAATTATACAAATGAAAAGTTCATAATATAAGAAAATATTTTTATGAGTGTGTAGAACAAAATCCTATAAGATGACACAAAATATAAATAAATTGGTACACAGACCTGCCGCACCGGCCTCATCAACCAACTATGTACACAAAATAAAGAAAAAAAAAGCATTCCTAAATTTAGTACGTGCTTCTTTTTTATTTTATTCAAATAGTAGAAAAAATGTTTTGTCTTGAAATTTGCCATTTAACATAAAAAATATATACAATTATACATAGCCCAACAGTCAACAAGATACATAATAATTTTTTATTTTTAAAACTAACAATAGTTTTGCTACATTTTATTTATAGTACAAAAATCTTTTTTTTTCACATTCCTCAAAGTTAAAATAGTTATAATTGGTACATTTCTCTTAAACACTACACATACTATTTATATACAACGTACAATAATTTATTTAGTTTCTGTTATATTCTCAACACATACACGCATCTACATAATATTATTTAATCTATGTTATATAAAACAAGGCATTTACTAAATTTGCTTTATTGTCGAGAATAACTTGCTTTTGTTGTTTATTTTGAGGACAGTATTTTTACTTGAAAGAATATATTGTAAAACAGTTATAACAACAACCGTATTATGATTGTTCTATATTTATTTAACAACTTTAGCGCGGAAGCAATGTTACGTGATATTAAGTTAAATAGGTTAGAAATAATTTACTTTTTAAATTTTTATTTATAATGTTTTTTTTAAAGGATATTTCTGAAATTATAGAATGGTCGTTGAAAGTAGCTATAGCCATTTGCGTATTATGCATATTTAAATTTCAAAAACTTTTTCTAATTTTAAACAAAATATTATTAATATGTTTAGTCTTATGAACCTTTAATTTGTTTATTTTTTGAATAAAATAAAATTAAATAACCATAATTTTATTTTATTTTGTTTTATATAAGGATATCAAATTATGATTTATTAGACAAATAACTGTTATACTTTTATATTTGTACAACTAATATCATATAGCATGCGAACTTTATGCGCCTTAAACGATTGCTTATTCTTATTATAGTTCAAATAAATTCAAAGCTAACGCAATTCTTTGTTATGCTACACAAAATACTGACATATCCTAGTGCTATATCAGTAATTTATTTGCCTTGCAATTAATATGATAGGTAAATAAATGAGAATATTTTCTTTTAATTTGAGCTTTGTAAGATTTATTTTATTTTATGATTTATAACAATTATTATGTTGAATAGGTCTACCTTATTTAACAAACAAAATTAACCATAATCATTTATTTTTTATTTATTACCTAGTGTATACCTATATATTATATATTTTAAAAATAATTTTTGTGCATAGTTTTATACGTCCTATTAACAATATGTAATTAGAAATATGAACTATGAGCTATATTGAACTTGTATGGTTTAAGGCTTAGGTAGCGTGTTACAATAATTATTGTAATGAGTGATAAGATAAGAGCAATGTAAAATTAATTTTAGAGTTGAGATTTAAACTTAAATTTTAAGATTGAACAGAAAAATTTGGGGAATAAACTAGATTTTACCATGCAAAAACTCCTAAAAATACTTTTACCGAGCAAACAATATACATAATTCTTACATAATTAAATGTATGTAGGTTCTAAAACTAGTTTTTTTTTTCAGATTATCAATACCACCACTATTCTTAAAATAACTCAAACCATGAAATAAAGAAGAAAATCAAAATTCTTGTGAATAATTGAAAGATATTATTAAAAAAGACAGCAAAATTTTGGAAGATTTTTAAATAAAATTCTTAATAATATTTAGAATCAGGAGTAAAATTTTTGCAATAAGATTAATCACACTATACAGTTGATCAAGAAACAATAAATTATCATGTAGAATTTCATATCAACTTAAACGTATACCAATTTTTAAAATATGTAAACCAAATTACATAAATATAACAAAATTAAATAAAAAAAAGTTTCTTAATGTTTTATGCAATTTTGAAAAAATAAAAAAATGATTTAACTCTATCAAAATTATTAGAATATTAAATTATTTAATAAATTGTACTAAAATTGCATTTCCAGTGAACTAATAATCAAAAAATTATAAATAACTTCCAATAAATTGATTATCATTTGTTAGAATATAAACGGTGAATAGTGAAAATGATATTGTTATATTTTTATTAAATCAGTTGTGGACCATATCAAAATCGACCAATTTAAAAAGAAAGGGTATATAATTAAAACTTAATTTAACTGTGAATTTAATACAAAAAAAAAACAAAAAAAAAATGCTGATTTACAATTAATATTCAAGAAAATAAATAATATCCGACTGAAAAATTCTTATACAATGTAACCTGTTATACACATATTATATGTATAACAGTTTTATTCTTTTTCTTATCACTATTTCCCTAATCACATTTACATTTAGAATAATATGTAGTTTTAAATCATCATTTTATAAATCATTTGAAACTGTTATAATAACATTAGTATAACATTCATTCATGTATAATTAAATTTAATAACCTGTCGTCATATTATAAAAATAACTGCCCCTATAGTATTTAATAATTTAATGATTTTTTGTCGTAAATATTAACTTATATTAATTTAATAAAAATAAAAAATTATAAATCAACTACCTTATTATACTTATAAGATTATTAATCAAATGTTAAAGGTATAAATCATAATAATTATTATAATTTTAAAATTTATTAAAATATTAACAAATTTTATAACAGTACAATTAACGTGTTATCATTTTGCCCAATATATTATTTTGATGTTTTAAGTGATTTTAAAATACTTAATAAATATATTTTTTTTTTTATTAAAATGATTATCAATTGATTTGTGTATTTTGGTGTTTCGTTTTTGTGAAATTTTTAAAATTATTTATTACTAAAAATTGTGAATAATTGAAAACAAAATTTTAATTAAATGCGTGAACATTTGTAATAATACAATGCAATAGATTAACTACATAATATTTAAATATCTTATTATTAATCAGTAAAGTAAATTAATTATCATAATAAAAATAATATGAAAATCACATAAAATAAAAATATAATTAATAAGAAAACAGAAATAAAGTGTTTATAATAGAATAATTGTAATTACATATAAATAAATTACATTAAACAAAAAATTTAAATTAATAATTTATATCCAATTTTGTATATAACCATATTATAATTATTATTTTAATAATATTTTATACAATATTATAAAATAATAATAGTTAAGAAAAAAAGTAGTGTTTTTTTAGAAAAAAAAGTTTGGTATACAAAATATATAAATAGCAAATAATAATAATAATAATAATTTAAGGATATATTAGAATATTATATAAAATGAAATTATAGTTCATATAATAATAATGATTTTCTATATAATATATTATTTAATTTAGTGAAAATAATAATCAAAATAAATTAAATATTTTAGTTAATCCAAAAAAATAAAATATTATTTAATTAATCTTCATTTATTTGAATCGGTGTATATAATAAGGTTTGTAATTAATCAAAAATTGAAAAATGTGCATTTATAAAATAGCCCACATAAATTGAAGTGAATTGAAAATAAATTATATACATATTAAAATAATAATAATTACAATATTCTCAAATGATTCAACACAACTAACAAAATCAACAATAATAATAATAATATTAATAAATATTAAAATTAAAAAAATTGAAAATTTCAATTTTTATTGTATAGAGTTGTGTAGTATAAAGTTGTCATATATGTTTAAAAAAAAATATACTAAGTGTGTTTAATAAATTATTCAATATTCAATAAAAATTTATAATACATAATAAAAATATTTAATATAAGTATTAAATAAACACATAAATAATTTATTATTACCATTTGTATTGTTCATTTATTGTGTATTAATCAAATTATAGAAAAAAAAAATAAATAATTAAAATTTTAAAAAATCCAAAAAAGGTATTTTAAAAAAATAAAATGTTAATCATCAATAATTTATTTGAATATCAGAATCAGATCAATGAAATAAATCATCAAATTCCAATTATTGATAATAAATTATAAAGAAAAAAATAATAAAAAAATAAATTTTTGTATTTTAATTGAAAAATCGTTTTATATAAGAAATGAAAATAGTTAAATTTAACATAAATTAAGTATTATAAAAGTATGCGCTTTACATATATGTGAAATAATAATAAAAAAGAGGAAATATTCAAATTTTTTAATTGAAAAAATAATGTTTAAAAATTTAATCAAATAAATTTTAATTATTTATTATGATGATTACATTTTAATCATTACAATATGTAAGTATTTTTGTTTTTTTAATTATATTTTTTTTACAATTATTGTTTTAATTTAAATTTTGAAAAAAATATTAATGTATTTTAAATTTAATTGTTAAATGAATGTTCTGTTTTAGCGTTTAACACTCTTTTTAAAATTTTTAGCGCTTAATACTCTAAAAACTTATGGTGAAAAGCTTTAGAATATAAGACATTCTTCTTGTAAAATTGTGCTTGTAGAAATTGGCATATATTTTAACTCTCATGTTCATATTTTGTTCCATTTTTATCCATTTTATGAGTTGTAATGAAATTATTTTCGACTAATTTTTTCTATTTTCACACATTGATTTCATCCAAGTATTTCGAGTCAATCAAATATTTTTTCGCATACCGTGTAATATTGCTATTTTAATTCATTGTGGACAATTTGCAGATTATTTTCGTAAAATTCTCATATTTTTTCGTTGATTTTCCAGTGAATTTTGTTTACTAGTAAATTCATGTTTCCATTTCTAAAAATATTAAATTGTAAGTATTTTTTATATTCTAGCAATTCTTTAGTGTTATTAATGATATTTCTTCTTAAAATAACAATTTTCCTTATATTTTTGTATTATTACCATAATTTCAATATCCTATAATTATTATAGCTATATTTAATCTCTCAAAATTACTATGTATAATGAAAAAATTTTGATTTATAGGAACTTTTTACTATCAATTTTACTTTTATAAATAAAAAATTTTGATATTTTAATACAAGACTTTATATAAAGTTTTCTAAACTCTATAATTTTGAAATTTAAAATTATATCCATTTATATGGATCCATGCACACTCAAAAACTGTTTATAATAATGTTATATTTTCTCAAAAATATTTAATTTTCCAAAAGCTAATATTTAAAGCTTTCCAAAACAGCATCCAAATTCTGCATTACCTATTTTATTAGAATTAAAATTAAATTTTATTCAAACTTCAACTTTTTTTTCAAAAATTTTCTGTCAAACAAAAAAATAATTCACAAAATATTTTGATAAAAAATACCAAAAAATAAAAGCAAATTTTTAAATAGTATCCTTTGTATATACTTTCAATCCATGTACAAAAAAAGTGGAAAGAGATACGTTCAGGTTTCATATTTAAATTTTAAATTAATTTTTTTTTTTTCATATTATCTAAACCTCATTAATTTGAAGTTTTTGAGAACGTTTAAAATTTCAGTTTTCATATCAAATATCTACTACTTATACGATATTTAATTGATTTTAAAAATAGTTTTTCCAAATTATAAAATTAAAATTATAAAAATCTTTAAAATTTTAAACTATTTGTTTTCGAAATTTTGTTCAGAATGAAATGAAAGCAATAGATCGTAGAATTAATTTTATATAGTATTAGTATAAATTCATTTATGCAAACTTTTTAGTGAAATTTGTCAAAAAATTTAATGTGGTTTTGAAAAGGAAGTTAAGGTACATATTTAAAATATAGAAAATTTTTTAGAGTTTTATAGCATTTGCAATAAAGTATACCTGTTTTGTCAGAAATTTTAAAGTAAATTTATTGATTTTAAATTTAAAATTGCGTATTTTTTTCTGATTTCAAAACGAGAATGGAGATTTTTGATAATTCAGTTCTATTTTAAATCTAAATATAAAGTACATTTGATAAATCCAAGCTGCAAAATCAGTATTTTCGAAAATGATAGTTGTACTTAAAGTTCTAAGTTTCTTTATAACTACTGGAAAAATATTATAAATTAAAAGCAAAATGTGATAAAAAAAATGTAGGATATTGAAGAATTGCTCGAGTGTGTTGCAAATCTGCAATGTAAAATTTCAGTGAATGTCTAAATTGTGGAAAATCCTCAATTTAAAATGAATTGCGAAAGAATTGCATTTTATACTTAAATTGTTTTGGAGGTTCGTACAGTTTTAAACAATATTTATAAAATTTCAAACAATTTAATATACAAAAATATTTTAAATATAAATTTTAAGTAAAAGATTTCCATAATATGCTCTGTTTCAATATATAGTAATTACAAGGTGTCTCTTCAAAGTCTTTCCAAAATCTTATTCTAAAACAGTGTTTAAAGCAGAGCTTCGGATATTTTAATTTGAAAAGTGATTGGAAGAAACAACTTTGCAAGACCCTATAGTTTCTAGTATATACAACAGAGCAGGAAAATTATTTATTTAAAATTTAATTTATTTAAGTATTTATTTTTTGTTTTTTGTATTTTCAACTAGATAATCAAGATATTATAATTAAACAGTATTTAAGGGTATTTTTAATTAAATTAATCCTATATTTATCTCACATAATTTTAAATAACTAATTTTTTTCTCGAAATTATTTAAATCATATAATATTAAAATGATATTCATGTATAAAAAATACATAAAATTTGAATTATTTAAAAGCAATATAAAATAAATCGATTTTTAAACCTTTTTTTTATACCCTACTAGTATAATGAATTCTATAATATAGAATATAATAATGAATTATCATAGATTATAAATAAACATGTATGTATATAAGTAAATAAATAAGTATGTAAATATAAATTTTTTTTTCATGGAATATAAGGATGTCACATTTAACATTATAAATATTTGATGATCTCTATCACATGCTTTTGTAGGTGGGTGATTTATTGCCAAAAAGCATTAGCTTCTGTTTTATGTTTAAAGAACTCAAAAATTTAAATCAACAATAATTTGAAAATACTTCACAAAGATTTCATATGATCGTTGAAGCTGTCTTTTATCCTCCAACTTCATCTTTAAGATTTCCAAGCTTGTCAATTATTACCTAAAAAAAACCTTTTTAAATATGGTTTTTGTTTGTCATTTTTTAAATAAGTAAATTGGATTTGTTACCTGTACTGTAACATAGATTATATTACTTAATAATATTTATTTTCTATTTGCTCTAATTTTAGTAAAGCAAATCTTAAATTGTTTTCCACTTATGATTTTAATTCTAATGCATTTGCTTCAATTCTTTCTTGGAGAAATTTGTCCGGAATATAACAATTAACTGAATGTTTGATGGCATTTCGGTATAATAGAATATATTGTTCGCAACATGATGATTTCATGGCCTCTGAATAATTAGTTTTAGGTCAATCTTCAAAAATTCTGACTACAACTTTTTATGAAAATTTAAGAATTTTTATATAATAAAACAATTCTTCATTTTTAAAAGTATCTGTTTAATGAAAATTGAGCGTTTTACAAGTAACATTTAAATTCTACGAGCGTCTCAACAGTTAACATTTCAAACTTCCATGAAATTTCAATAAAATAAAATTGAATCCATATGAATGTTTGCTGCTGTGGCCTCGATCTAAATTTGTTAATAATTTTGAACTCAATTATACTTTTTCTGTAACTTAAAAAGAAAAATAGTGAGAATTATTTTTTCGTATATGCACATAAAATTTATTTACATTAAGTGGAAAATAAATTAAGTATTTAAGTTAAGCAGATATTTTTTAATTTAAATGATTTAAAAATTTTCAATAAATCTTTAAAAATTACAAAAAATAAGTACTTATTATACTTTTATTTTTAAATCATAGCTACATATATAATATTGTAATTGGATAAAAATAATAATTACATTTAAATTGAATTTTATTGCATTACATACATAATATATAGAAAATTATTTTATTATTTTAGTTATGATTTATTTTTCATTATTCATTCCAATATTCACATTTACTATATAAAAATTATAATAGAATATACAAAATATTATTGCAATGAGAAATTATTTTATAAATAATGGTATAATTTTACAAATAAATAAAATATTTTGGTGTTAATCCTTTTTTAATCATAATACAAAAATCAAAATGAAAATAAATTGTTTTTTTTTGCTTAGCCCTTTTTACTCTTTTACTATCTCTACACTTATAAAACAATATTAATAATATTCAATTTGAAATGTTGTCAAACATTAATATTAATGTTATTACGCGAAATAAATAGCAAATTTTTTAAATAAAGGACATTCAATGACACTTAAATGTATTTTATATTCAAAATCGATATTATAATTAATAAGGATTTTATTTTTATTTTAATCGTTTTATATTGTATTTTAATTATGAATCTTAATTTCAAAAACTACGTAAACATTATAATATAGGTGAGAATTTTATAGGGAACAATTTGCAAAATGTTACCCATACTAGCTAAGTATTTTTGATTTTAAAGAAATGAAGATTTTTCATCCGACTGAAAGTAAAGTTCAATATGATTTTCTAAATTAATATGAAGATACTTCTTTAAAAATTAATTTGAAGTAGTCCCTAGCCTTTAATAGTAACTTGATCAAATTAATTTTATATTTTACTTCTCTTCTTATTCTTCTTATTCTTCTTGAAACTTTGTTGGAAATCCTGGTTATATAGGAGTTTATATCTTCTTGTTAAATTATTATCTTATTGTTCATATTACGAAACAAAATATTTACTATAAATAATAAATTTACGTGATTACATAAGTGGATATAATATTATTATTATGATTTCTTTAAATACCTTAAATGTTTAATAAATATTTAATGCAATTTACATTAGTTCCAATATAAATTTGAATAGATTTGTTAATTTTAATCGTATACATGCATAGTTAATTTATTGTTAATGTACATTCAAAAAGGGATTATGAAAATCTTTTATTTTTAATTTTAACTTTGTTTCTTATATATATTTTAAAAAGGATATAATATTTTCCCGGTATTATTTAATATTATTTAGACTATTTTCTGTTTTGTATAGTAAATTATAAGTGTGTAGTGTTTACATATAATAAAAAAAGTACACTCCAACTTATAAGCTCTTATATATTATGTAATATTAAAATATATGAATAGATATTTTAAATTATTTACTATATATATATAGAGAGAGAGAGAAAGCATTTTATTGTTTAACTTTAAATGGTGGTAATTTATTTAAATTATTTGCATTTAATTTTCGTGAGTTATTTTAA